GATCATATTGGACAAGGAGGGGAGTGTTTCAGGAGTCTGTGCAACAGTCAGACTTGTGTTGGGTTCTAATCACAATGGACGGTGAGTTTAGAAACTGTCAGCAGGTGCTTCAGAGTCAGAAGTTCAAACATGCGTCGTGGCAATTCCCGCCCAGGTGATGTGAATATCTATACGGAGGGTTCTGTGTTGGGAGGCAGACCACGTGCATGAGGGTTTAGGTCAAAATTGAACGGACGTCGCTTAGTGAAAATAAAAAGCCTGGTATATGATACTACAATGTCTAGTTTAAGAATCGAAGTGGAAGCAGTCGCTCGGGCTATCCTCCGAAAAACGGCCACATATTTTGGCAGCCAAACAAAAACTCTGACAGGGCCTCAATCACATGTAAAATGCGGACTTCCGCCGAAAGTATCCTCTTCGCCGCGGAGGGGGGGGGGCAGGTGGGGGGGGGCTTAACTAGATGGCTTGCACTTTCGGCGGAAGCTTCTCCGCGGTATGCGGAATAGTCGCCGTAAAGAGGTCTGCAATTGTCATTTGACTGAGGCCATAATATGTGGCCATTGTTCGCAGGATAGCCGTCACTCGTCCTTTCCCTTTCTTTTAGAACCAGCCGTACACACGTGTCGTGTTTGTGACTAACTCACAGAACATGTTGAGAAAAGTGAAGACAGGTATGCTCCGTGCAGTGTGGCAAGTATCGCCTCCCGTGTGCTTGGCACTCCTTGAATGTTCTCTCCCTGTTATGCAGGTGTGTTGGAAAACGAACAGATAGAATGTTGAACTAAGAATCGACATCACAGCACTCGGGACACCCCAATAAGCGCTCTGTCCCCATCTTCAGCAGCATCATCGGAAGAATTCTGAGCTGGCTGCTGACAGTGGCGAGGCGGCGTTTATAGGAACATCTCCAGTGCAATGGTGTCGGTTCTGAAAAAGTGCACTCAACCCTACAGCCTTTCGAGTTCTCACGGGGGCGGGATTTTCAATAATTAAACCTTGGCTTCCGGTCTAAAATTTGTACCAGGAATTGTCCTGGAAAGTAAAGATGGCTGGTATGATGTTGATCAAATCACATCGTTTCATGGAGTTCCGAATCTTTTAAAATACGTCTGGTATGCAATGCCAGATTGGCAGCTGCAAGATTGTCCTAAATAATTGCTAACGTGTACTCTGCTGTTCTTTCTTATCTAAGTCTGCCAACACAAAACAAAGAAAAATTCGGAGGCACTTTCAATTCCTTCTTCCAACCTACCCCTGCCTTACAAATTGTTAGGGCGAAAAAAAGGGGAGAGGGCCTTAAAGGGATAATCCTAGTTTAGGGGCATAATAATAATAATGCTGTTCTAACTGGCAAATACACATAATAGTGTGGCTAAAAATATAATGAATTGTGTAAACAAACTCTGAGGGCTGGAATATTTTCAAAATTGACCTTGGCTCCCAGATAGATGCAGCCTTTAGTGGGTACCAAGTACAGTCGTGGGAAGTAAAGGCGGCCGGTGTGATACCGACCACATCATCAACCAAGTGCTGTTGGTAAATATCATATAGGTCTAGCCCTATATGCCCAATACGCTTGAATACGTAGAAAAAAGTCTTTTACTTTACCTACTTAATATAAACAAACATTATAGGAAAACTTTTATATGCGGCTTAAGGACCCATAGCAAAAACATTTGGCGGCAGGGCGACGGGGGGGGGGGGGGGGGCTCTCAAGCATCCAACCCCCCCCCCCCTGGTGTAGGCGCCTTTGGTTGTCATGCCAACGGTGTAAGGTCAACCACAGGGCAAGGTCTGGTATCTTATCAGCATCGATAATGCGACGGGAACTTTTGTGAAGTAATGTAACATTTGCAGTGTTACTTTGTGCCTTCAGTACGTCGCAGTAGTTAGCAGCAGATTACGACACGCTGTAAGCTTGAAATCCGCTCCAGTAGTAGTAGTAGTAGTAGTAGTAGTAGTAGTAGTAGTAGTAGTAGTAGTAGTAGTAGTAGTAGTAGTAGTTCTAGCAGCAGCAGTAGTAGTAGTCGCCGTCTTAGTAGTAGTAGCAGCAGTAGTAGTAGTAGTAGTAGTAGCAGCAGTAGTAGTAGTAGTAGTAGCAGCAGCAGTAGTAGTAGTAGTAGTAGTAGTAGTAGTTGTTGTTGTTGTGTTGTTGTTGTTGTTGTTGTTGTAGCAGCAGTAGTAGTGTAGTAGTAGTAGTGGTAGTAGTCGCCATCTCGGTAGTAGTAGTAGCAGCTGCAGTAGTAGTAGTAGTCGTAGTCGTAGTCTCAGGAGTAGTATGAGAAGTCGTAATGGCCGTCTCAGTAGTAGGAGCAGCAACAGACACAGCAAAGGCAGCAGCAGCAGCAGCAGCAGCAGCAGTAGTAGTAGTAGTAGTAGTAGTAGTAGTAGTAGTAGTAGTAGTAGTAGTAGTAGTAGTAGTAGTAGTAGTAGTAGTAGTAGTAGTAGTAGTAGAAGCTTCGCATATTTCTTTAAAAAACGTCGCAAATTAACAGTTGGTTTTGTTGAATGCTTTCTATTAGTTACCACAGTTTCAAGTTCAATAGTATGTATGTTATTGTTTTCTTGAAAGTGACAGGCTTTTATATGTTTCGTCGATTTCAAGACAAAGGGGTCTATTGCCAAACTGCCTACAGCTAACTTCAGTATGGTGCATTCGGAATTATGAAACTGTATTCATAACCTCAACGATACATGCTACGACATTTCGCTTTAGGTAACATGAAATGCCTTCAATGGAAAGTGGTAAGCTTAGTTTTCAAATTTAATTTGTTTTTTTAATTTTTTTAATTTTTAGTTTTACGAAATACATTGTCTACATATTTCTTCTCCTTTGTATGTATTCTAATGCAATAAATTCCAGTTGTGGGTGGTTACAAATAGAATTGTCGCCGACTTATATAGAGCCAGTTTTATGGCTGTGAACCCTGGACAATTCATAAACAAGACGAGCGATTTCTTGAGGCCTCAGAGATGTGGTTTTTACAGAAAAATGCTTACAATTCCTTAGACTGCCAGAATAAGCTGCCTCGGTGTCTTAAAATGAGAGAAAAGATATATTTCGTAATGCCGAACGAAATGTATATCAGCAAGTTTTACAATATAATGAACACAAACAGAACGTGGACGTTGCGGCTGTGGAGCCTTCATCAGCACATACATAAATAGAATAATACCACACAAATACACAAAATCACTTAGCTGAGTATCTCGAAGCAGCCAGGTCGATGTCTTGTCAGTAGACTTAAAGGAGAGGGGACCCTGAAAGGGGAGAAGACCCTGAAAGGAGAGAAGACCCTAGGTCTAGTCTATATACCCAATACGCCTGAAGGTGGAAACAATTGGGTACTTATAAATTACCCACTTAAGGAGTGTGGCATTTCCGTAACTGACGTCTGTACTTTCTGCTCCACAGGAAAGTGGGTACGGAAGCCTGGCGGTCAAATGTTGTGGATTTCTCTGTATCTGTACAGATTGTCACTGTCCCTTTAGTCGGTGAGATCATGCAATATTGCTATGGAACACAGCAAGTTCGCCCGCAAAGTTGGCAGACGTATCCTACAGGGTTGGCAAACAACTTCCCGCGCCATCTTTCTTTCTTTCAGTCTATTGTAGAATCGAAGCAGCAGCCAATCATTCCATCCGTTTCTTCAAACATAACAGGTAAATATAAAGTATTACTTGTTTGGAGTGAAGCAAAGCGGGTTAGATCCACTGCCCCCTAATAAGCATATCATGAGGGTTTCCTTCAAAGTCGCAGAATGTCTCCCCGAGGGAGGGGGGGGGAAGAAGAGCCAGCAGACTGCATGCAAATAGCCAGATCTGTAAAACAGATGAGCACACAAAACCTAAGTCCCGGAACAAGACCAAAGTACAGAAGTGGACGAACAACCACAGTTTTAAGATGGAGTTTACAGGCGGTGAACGCTAATAGCAAAAAAAAAAAGAGGAATCATATAGTTAAAATACTTAATTGTATGTCCTTAATTAAAAATATTGTGGCTTGTTGTAGATTAATTGAGGGCCTATGCTACATCAAGCAATAACTGCAAGACGAAGAAGAAGAAGAAGAAGAAGATGATGATGATGATGATGATGATGATGATGATGAAGTAGAAGAAGAAGAAGCAGAAAGAGACAGAAGGAGGAGAACGAAAGAAGAGGACAAAAAGACGAGGAGAAAGATGAAGACAGAAAACGAGAAAGAAAAAGAAAGAATGATATAAAGTAAGTAAGTAAGAAAGGTGAAAGGAAAGAAAGGAAGAAAGACAGAAAGAAAGAAAGAAAGAAAGAAAGAAAGAAAGAAAGAAAGAAAGAAAGAAAGAAAGAAAGAAAGAAAGAAAGAAAGAAAGAAAGAAAGAAAGAAAGAAAAGAAAGATAGAAGGAAAGAAAGAAAGAAAGAAAGAAAGAAAGAAAGAAAGAAAGAAAAGAAGAAAGAAAGAAAAGAAAGAAAGAAAGAAAGAAAGAAAGAAAGAAAGAAAGAAAGAAAGAAAGAAAGAGAGAGAGAGAGAGAGGAAAGAAAAGAAAGAAAGAAAGAAAGAAAGAAAGAGAGAGAGAGAGAGAGAGAGAGAGAAAGAAAGAAAGAAAGAAAGAAAGAAAGAAAGAAAGAAAGAAAGAAAGAAAGAAAGAAAGAAAGAAAGAAAGAAAGAAAGAAAGAAAGAAAGAAAGAAAGAAGAAAGAAAGAAAGAAAGAAAGAAAGAAAGAAAGAAAGAAGAAAGAAAGAAAGAAAGAAAGAAAGAAAGAAAGAAAGAAGAAAGAAAGAAAGAAAGAAAGAAAGAAAGAAAGAAAGAAAGAAAGAAAGAAAGAAAGAAAGAAAGAAAGAAAGAAAGAAAGAAAGAAAGAAAGAAAGAAAGAAAGAAAGAAAGAAAGAAAGAAAGAAAGAAAGAGGAGGCCCATGAAGACGAGGAGGAAGATAAAGACAGAAGGAGACCATTGTCGCGTTTAATTTCTTTTATGCTACGTAGAAAATAAGACCAGCTAATTCAAGGCATTAACAATAGCGCATAGAAGATTCATACACACTACCCCTCCCATACCCAACCTATGCCTCACATTGTCTTTGTGTCAACGTCTCCCCGCCCCCCCCCCCTCTCCCTCCCCTTTCCCCCATCCTCCTTTACCCTTTTCGGAACAGAGGCAGAAGGGGAACAGGACCAAAACATTTTAATCGAGGCATTTGAACAGTAAGTTATATTAATACGCCGCGGTTTTCTTGTTTCAGGCCTGTTCCACAATGAACTTACACAGCAGGATCTTGAACTACTTTCAGGGGCGATGCACACTTTTCACATGGCGATGAATAACGCGTCCATTCCTTATTTTATGTTTGAGGTAACTGGTTTGTATTTAGAATTATTATTATTATTATTATTATTATTATTATTATTATTATTATTATTATTATTATTATTATTATTATTATTATATTTATTATCTCTTGGACAAGTAATAACCTGTGACGGCAGAAGTGAAACAGAAGTCCAGAAAAGAATAGGGATGGCCAAAAACATTTTCAACAACATGCAAAAGTTACTGACATCAAGAGAAATAAACAATGCATTAAAAATGAGAATTGTCAAATGTTATGCATGCTCAACCTTACTGTATGGCACAGAGACATGGACAATGAACAAACAACTGGAAAAACGTATCAATTCTTTGGAGATGTGGATGTACAGAAGATTAGGTCGTATTTCATGGAAACAAAAGCTATCAAATACAGAGGTACTGAGGAAATTGGGATTGAAAAGAGAGTTGCTAGGTGAAATAAAAAAGAGACAAGTGAAATATTTTGGCCAGATTAAATGACATAACAGTATTGTAAAGATCATCCTAGAGGGAAAGGTTCAAGGTAGGCGAGCAAGAGGTAGACAGCGTTACAAGTGGGAGGATAACATCAACAGCAGTATGAGTGAGTGTACATCAAGGGCAAGAGACAGGGCTTGTTGGAGATCCATTGCAGCCAACCTTCATTGTGGAGACGGCACCTGATTGATTGATAGATTATTATTATTATTATTATTATTATTATTATTATTACTATTATTATTATTCGTCCTCCTCTTCTTCTTCTTCTTCTTCTTCTTCTTCTTCTTCTTCTTCTTCTTCTTCTTCTTCTTCTTCTTCTGCTTCTTCTGCTTATGCTCTTGCTTATTCTTCTTCGTCTTCTTCTTCTTCTTCTTCTTCTTCTTTTTTTCTTCTTCTTCTTCTTCTTCTTCTTCTTCTTCTTCTTCTTCTTCTTCTTCTTCTTCTTCTTCTTCTTCTTCTTCTTTTTCTTCTTCTTATATAATTATTATTACTACTACTTATGTAAAATCCTGACTGCTCGCCCACTATTGGATTTCGATCTTATTTCAGGACTTGAGTTTGTCGTGAACACCCGTTTTACAGTCCTGGTTTATTTGTTTGCAGACAGCTGGCTCCCTACCTCTCATACAGATACATGTCGATCTTGAAGGAGGTGTAGATCCTTTCTACGTTGGCCAGGCCTCGGGTTGAGAACCCGTTTCTAGGAGGAACGCCGAGAAGTTCATGAGCCCTGGAACTTGAGCACTGGTTCTCAACCTGTGGGTCGCGAACACCTATGGAAGTCAAAGGACCCTTTCACAGGGGTCGCTTAAGACCATCGGAAAACACATTTTCACTGAAGTTATGAAGTAGCAACGAAAACGATATTTATGGTTGGGCGGTCACCACAACATGAGTAACTGTATTAAAGGGTCGCGGCATTAGGAAGGTTGAAAACCACTGACCTAGAGGCTGCCATTCGTGGTTCAGCTCATTTCAGTAAAAATCACCATACATCATGTATATCACCCCTTATTTTAGAACCAACATCATAGCACTCGGGACATTCGCTTAAGCTCTCCTTTCCGCTTCATTATTATCATACCCCAAACAGGGAAAATCCACAGATTACGGAACAGTCTAATATTTCAGGGGGTGGTAGATAGGCTGCAAGCTGTCGTAGGACCTAGGCTGAATGCAATCGTGGGATCCAGGCTGCACTCTCTCATCGTATGTAGGTGGGTGGGGGTTAGGGTCAGTTTTAGATGTTTGGGGTCGTTAAAAGCATCAGAAAGCCAGGAAACGCAGTCTTACTACCCTCTAAAATGTTTTACTGTTCTGTGACGTCATCTGAGGTATGACAATAATAAAAAACCCAGATCTTGTCTTTCCTATTGGGGTGGCAAATGGGTCAGATCCTCTAGTTACCCCCCCCCTCCCCCTTTCCCAATTGCACCACTCTCTTCAGATCGTGATAATCTAAGTGTGCCACTGCACTGATAAGTCCCCGCCTAAAAGCTTTGACAATATATGGCTTGTCATGCACAGATTTACCACCAAGTGGTGAGGAGCCAGCAAGTCTGTCCATCTATTCGTGTCCTAACACACCTGCCTGCCCTGGAGAAAATATCCAAAGGATGCTAACTTTCCTGGACTATTGTGTCAGTGCCCGAGTTTTGCATGTACATCCGTTTTACTGACCTATTTATGTGCGGTTGATTGTTCCTTGCCGCTCGGGCAGATGCACTTCGACTTCGAAGAAAGCCCCCAAATCGTCGACACCTACGACATGCTTGTTGTGGAGTTACTGGGTCTATTCTTGTTTTTCCCACGATGGGGCCCTGGAAGCTACACGGGTAAAAACGTAGTCACCCTCATTAGATGCTGCAATTGTCCGGTTTTTATTGTAAACTCGCATTCAGTAAATATTTTGTAATTCTTTAGAGCAACGCAGTGGCTAGACAGCCTAGATTTGGAAAACATTTACCTCAGCTCTAGGTGAACCCAGACAACAATGGGTACAAGGAAATGTTCTGGGAAGTGAGGTTGGTTTAATATTAATCACATCATCCTTTTAATGCTTTCTTCCTCTTTATTTTGTTCCTCTTCTTTTTTGTGTTACCAGCTGTAAGCCTCGGCAGAAAGTTCTGACTGTTTTTCCACCTCTGTATTCCAGTTTTGTTCCAGAACCTGAGAGTTAGGTGTAAATCTGTATTACCGATCTGATTTATCTGTATGCAGACTGTTGGTTACTTGCCACTCAGGCAGTTGCCCTCCGACTTCGAAAACTACTCTAAATTATTCTACTCTTACGACATGCTTGTTATGGAGGCAGTGCTTCTGTTCTTCTTTCCCCCGTAATGGGATCCGGAACACGAGGAGGTCGAGTGCTGATTAGTCTATAAATCTAAGAGTCTGGATCCCTGATGTATCACTGACTAAAAAAATTAACGGGTTATTGACCTACTTATTATCATCCCATGCTCGATGCGTCACTTTCAACAGAATTCAATTGACTTTATTTTACCTAGGGAAGTCTTCTAGGATCTTACCGCCATCACAACATAGTTCCCTGGGATGATGATGTTGATTTAATCCTTCACCAAAATCACAAACTGGACCTAATCCGGATATTTAAAGACATGAAATCGCGGTACAGACTTGATACCAGCACAGCCAGGTGAGTTGGGGCACGTTAACTTTCTTTGTTTTATTGTGTGTAGGTACTATCAGGTGTTTCACTCGTGTCGGAACCCAGTATTTTGTTTATAACTCAGATACAAATGAAGATATGGCAGTGGAATTTGCAGAGGACTTACCTCCGTTCATCCAAAGTCGGGTGACGCATAACAACAGTTCCTGGAAGAAGCTACTATCGGCGTCCAGTCTGCAAAACAGCGCGTGACCTTTTGTCGCGCCCGCTTATCAGTGCGTCCATCCAGGTAGTGACACCTGACGTACTGAGAACGGACTTTCCACAATATGGAACACCTTGTTCAATGCTTGCTGGATGCCAGTGGGGGCTATTTCCAGGACCCGTTAAGATGTCAGTGGCAAACTACTAGACGTCAACTTGCCTTTAAAAACCTTTACAGTTAAAAAATGATGGGGTTGGTTCTGCAAAGTCCTGTAAAGGATAAGCAACTAACGGTTATGCGATGACCCGAATTAACATGAAAGGCCGTTAAGTTCATTCCAAATTTTCGTTGCCATATCCTAATTAGTGTCCCAGTTATGAACAAAATAGTGTGCTTCGCGCCGAGTGAAGCACCCGATGTTTTCACATTTCTTACACTGTCCATTAGCGTGTCTAACATGGTTTTAGAGACGCTTCGTTTTGCACTGGTATTGCTTTGTTCATCTGCACGTACCAGTTCTGAAATACTGCATTAGCTTCTTCTTTACTGTTTCCTTCTTTGCATATATTGTCAGCTAAACGTTAAGGATGTAGCACAAGTTTTTGTTCTACGTATACTTTTTCTTAATCAGGTTTTGGTGTACTTGAATATGTCCCTCTTCTTCTTCTTCACTTCGTTAGCGCTCACTGACTGTAAACACTAGGAGAAAGTCTGGTTGTTCCTGGATTTCTGAATTTTGTATTGTTCCAGAGCTTGAGTTTTACATACACATCCGTTTTACAGATCTGGTCTATTAATATTCACATTGTTGGTCCTCTGCCACTCTGGTAGATACGCTCCTACTTCAAAGTAAACATTCATAATTAGTTGCCTTTTACGACATGCATGTTTGGGGCAGTGGGTTTATTTGAAGCCCCCCCCCCCCCCCCTTTTTTTTTTCCCATACCGCCCTCGCCAATAGAGCCCTATCCCACAAAAAGGAAAACAATGTATGCGATATGTTAAGACAGCGGACGGTAATTTATGTGTTTTATAGTTCCCACATTAGGTATTTTTCCTCAGACATAAATTCATAAATTTCACTCCATCTCTTGCAGAGGTAACAATACCCACGTAAATTGTGGGAAGGCAACACAGCCTTTGTACAATTTTCTAAGGGCTGAGACGATTAAGAGGCCTTACCCTCGGTTAGGAGCACAATAATAATAATAATAATTTTCTGATTTATAAGTATGTATTACAGTGTATTTGAATAATGTGATATTAGGAGCGTTCATTTGAAACCTCTTCGTGTCATACCGTGCATAATAGCATCCCTTGGACATGAACGTGTCACAGTTATGTGGTAAGTACTGACCAATGAATGAATGATCAAGCGCTTCTCTCTCTATAATGCCAACATTCTGTTTCTGACCGTTGCGAACATGGCGAGGTTGATCTAAAATCCTTTTAAAGAAGCTCAAAAAGGGGGATTCAGTTTATTTTATTCAACTGATGTAGACCAGTGGATATTTATTGCAGGCAGCAAATGGTAACAAGTGTGTGCTGAATGTTTCCAAAAAGACGTGACTATATAAGAGATCTTCCACTGCCGGGTGATAAGCATATTGTGGCAACAACAACAACAACAAGACATCGCCAAAATTGACTCACAATACCGTTGAACCGTTATCAAAGCGACCTTTTATGACCAACACAAGTATATTTAAAATTATCTTTTTCTTTTTCTTCTTCCTCTTCTTCAGCATTCCGAGCCCTTGGGTTTCAATGCTGCACATATCACCAGCCTCCATTAATCTTTCCGGTTGGCCTTCTCTTTCCAGTTGGTGACGCCAAGTGTTTGGAGGTCTGTCTGGACATTATCTCTCCGTCATCATTTTCGTCTGCCTCGTTGTTTACGACTATTCCCTTGTGTATACAGTTTTTACTTCTCGGTCATCTAATATTCTTTCAATATGCCCCAATCATTTCAGTCAATTAGCTCTCATGATATCAGTGATCAGTGGTGATTTAAATAGATTATGAATGTCGTTGTTGCTTCTCACTTTCCATTCCCCGCTGTTTGCATCATTGATGGGTCGAAAGATTCGTCTTTGACTTTAGCAGATGTTGAAATAAACAAAGCATTAAAAATAAATGAAGACAGACAGACAGACAGACAGACAGACAGACAGACAGACAGACAGACAGACAGACAGACAGACAGACAGACAGACAGACAGACAGACAGACAGACAGACAGACAGACAGACAGACAGACAGACAGACAGACAGACACAGCCTATACCGGGTGAGGTAAGTGGCAGCAGCTTAGCCCTGCTTGAAATTTAGGCAAAGCTTTAAAAGAAGAGTGGTTGGGGTCCGAAGGGAGAGTCGGGGACTTTTCTAAGCATTCAGTTCCAGCGACCCTTTCCTTAAATCAGTTCTTGAGTTGGTTTCATGGAAAACCCTTTTCGTTGATTTAGTTTCTTTTAAACCAGAGTAACATTTTAGTTTTATAGGCATCAGATGTATTATTTTTTTCCCAGATATAAATTTTACGACACCTCAGGTCATTCAGCTGAAACTGTCCCTTGGAAAACCCCCTTCCTTGATGTCAGCTTCTACGCAGAAAACTCCACACATTTGTGGGACATCGTCTTCACACGCCTCTTGGTTTACAACAAGTCAGACATTTTCCCTTTGGTTGACAGACCGTTTCTAGGTCAGCTGTACCCCGCTCCCCGCGACCCTCTAAGAATCTTGCAGGTGAACTACAATTTAGATCACTGCAGCACGGGATGGTACAACCATACGGCAGAAAAACGAAAAGAGAAAAGCCAGGTGAAGACTGTTGCCTGCTCATCCTTGCTGGGCGTTCTACCGTTTGTTCAGCATGTGAGGGGACCTGCGGGTGCGTGGTGTGAGGAGGTGTTAACATTCAGAGGTCAAGTACTCAGTACATTTGTCAGGAATTCCACAAACATCACTGTTTGTTGATATTGGTTAATGTTTGCTATTCATGATTTTTGCTATTTTTTTTTCTTCACACGTTTCGTGGTAGAATTGTTATTATTATTATTATTTTTCATTATTTTTATTTTTAGATGATTTATATTAGCTTGTATTTTTAACAGATATTTTTCTTCTTTATTTTAGCAGAGAATATGAGTGTGAACAGATACGAAATTAGCAATAGGCTTGCTAATGGAGCCAGATGTTAATTTGTGCTAGCAATAGACTAAGCTGATGTTCCATGGGCTCTCCAGAGCGATTCTAAAAATTGACCGAAGATGCCCTTCAACATCTGTCAAAGCGTCTGTCTTGCATCACCAAGATATAAATATTTAAAGCCTTGATAAGACCATTCGTTTTATATGACTCCGAAACTTGGAGCACAACTAAAAGAGATCCAGCCTTTTTACAGGTTTTCGAAAACAGTTTTACGACGAATCTTTTAACCCATCAAAAATGTAAACAGCGGGGAATGGAGAGTAAAAAACAACAACACAATTAATAATCGTTTTAAATCATCATTGATAACTGGCATCATGAGAGCTAATAGGCTGAAATGGTTGGAGCATATTGCAAGCATGTCAGATGACAGACAAGTAAAAACTGTAATGGTCGTAGACCACCAGACAGACCAAGAAGACGATGGAGAGATAACGTCCAGACAGGCTTGCAAACACTTTGTGTCACCAACTTAAAAGAGAGGGTCAACCAGAGAGATGAATTGAGGCGGGTAATATCTACAGCAATGAACCTTGAAGGCTCGGAATGCTGAATAAAAAGAAGAAGAAGAAGAAGAAAAAGATAAGGAAGGAAAAGAAGTAGGAGCAGCAGCGACAGCAGCAGTAACAGTGGTATTGGCACTAGCAGTAGCAGCAGTAGTAGTAGCAGCAGCAGCAGTGGTAGCAACAGCAGCAGCAGTAGTTGTAGTAGTAGCAGCAGCAGCCAGCAGTTTTTGTAGTAGTAGCAACAGCAGCAGCAGTAGCAGTAGTTGTAGTAGTAGCAGCAGCAGTAGTTGTAGTAGTAGCAACAGCAGCAGCAGTAGTTGTAGTAGTAGCAGCAGCCAGCAGCAGTTGTAGTAGTAGCAACAGCAGTAGTTGTAGTAGTAGCAGCAGCAGCAGTAGTAGCAGCAACAGCAGCAGTCTGTGCAAAGCAGACAATTGTTGAGAAATAGAAACCGCTATGTGGACTGGATTTTGGGGTCGATTTTTGTGTGTTTCTTTTTTAAATAAACATTCATGTATTCCTGTTTATTTTTGTATCTTATAATTTATATATCCTGATGTTGGTCGTGAGGCCTGTTGACACACACACCCGCCCACCCACGCACGCACGCACGCACACACACACACACTTACTTCTGTCTCACGCGCTGCTAATAATTTAGATACAGACGGATTTTCCTCAGTTCAGTGCTGTCAATATTCTTTTTCTTTTCTCGGGCCTTTGTCTACCCGATTTCCCCATTAACATCGGTGTATTTTATGCCACATCGCTTGCTTTCTTGCAGTGGATTACGTAAATGATAATGCGACTCATGTAGTAGAATGCCTCACGTGTGTGGAAGGTGACATTCGAAATGTCTGACTTGTCCCCTGAACCACATAGTGACAAGTCTTGCATTCAGGTGTGCAGCAGAAGACCGTGCCTCAGTAGACGAAGGAAGTAACCGACTCTTCACCAAAACGACATTGAGGTTATGGTCATGTGTGTATGCCACTAGCGGAAGTTCAGAGACAATCGTGCTTGTGGCCAGGTCAGCCCTCACTCAGGGTGTAGAGATGTTCCTGAGGATAATGTTTTTAGCACGGATGTTGTGAGGGTAAAAGGTCAATAAAAGGATAGGTCTGTTGTAGTGACGTTTAGGCTTGGACACTTTGTGTCTCAGCACGACTGATAGACCGGGATCGATGAAAAGCAGCAGATAAGACTTGTTTAGGGTAACCTCGAACACCCGGAAGAATTATAGCATAGCCATATCTTTATTGGTGTCCGAGTTATGTTTGTTTTAGTATCCAGAAGCCATGAGTTGTTAACCCTTAGGCTCGGTATTATGGATATCGTTACCTTTCGGCCTTGATTTCATGATAAGTACCGTAAATCTGGGAGAAATGTGGCTTTTCTGCCTACCCCCGGGAGTGAACCCGGACCACAAAGAGTTCGTCACCCGGTCACCGCTCAATCCGGTTTAGCCAACTACGCTAGAAAGCCTGGCTGTCCTAGCTATAAACAAAATACTGGGTTCCGCCACAAGAGAAACACCAGACAGTACCTACACACGAAAGAACTTACTTGCCCCAACTCGACTGAAAGTTCTGGTATCAAGTCTGAAGGTTCGGTTCGGTTCGGTAGAAAGAAAAAAGAGTAAAAAATCTGACGCTTCAGCGTGTCACTAGGACCTTGCTTTATTTGCGTCTTCCTTTCTGGGTGGTCTTGACTTTGAGTGGTGACGTGTACTCACGTCTGCTGGATTTCTGCAACATTGTTGGGGAGTGGATGTCTGCTAGTCCTGAGAAGGACTAGCAGCGTGTGCCGGGGCGGCCTCGAACGGATGGGAGGGATTGCGTTTGGCGGCTGACATCATGCCTGGCTGGTAGCGAGCTGTGGGGTGTTTTTCGGGCTGGGAGGTTGGCTGGTTCAACTGTCATGGCGGCTGGTCTGGTGGGCGTGGTTTAGATGGTGGCAGGCGGGCCGTTATTTTTTGATCGTGGGCGGCTTGTCGGTGGTTAGCTTCTCGAGCGCTTCTCTAGCCGGGTAGTCTTGGTACGATCCCGCATATTTGGCTAGTTGTGCGTCCACTCTGTCTGATTCCTCTTGAAGTCTGGCTTCTTCCTCTCTCTCTCTCTGCTTGTTCCTCTCTTTTGGCTTCGGCCAGCCTTGCTTCGAATTCTTTCTCTTCTGCTATTTCTGCGGCGGTTGGTTTTGCTATCTGCGGTTTTTTGCGGTTTTGGACTGATACCCTTTTCCGTTCCGCTTCTTTCCTTGCACTTTCCCTGGCGTCCATAACTTTATTGGTGGCTTGCAGGGCGGCGCTTAGTTTGGTCAATTCTTCCTTTGTCTTGGCTAGCTCTGCTTCTGTTTCTATCGATTCTTTCTTGGTATCAGCGACATCAGCTAGTAGGGTTGTATGGTTTCTTTGAATTTCTTTGGCGGATTCGGCGTCTGCTACCTTCATCTTTTTGAGGTCAGTGAGCATCGCCATCAATTCTGTCTTGCAAGCCATCATTTCGGTGTTTTCTTTCTCCAGTCGTTTTTGGGTTTCTAGGGACGACTGAAGGATCCTTCTTAGATCATTCATTTCATCTCTATCCTGGATCCTAAGTGCTCTGATCTTTGCGTTTTCATCACGGAGGATTTTAATTTCTTCCCTCAAAAGTGTGACCTCCTTGTTGTTTGCGGGTGGTGCGGCTGTCGATCTAGGCGCCTGGAAACTTCTTCTTGGCTCCTGGTTGTGAGTGGTCCTGGTGGTGGTAGTCGGCCCAGCTCTCTTGATCCCTTTCAGGTACGGGCAACCCTGGTACCTGGCGCTGTGCCCCCCTGAGCAGTTGGAGCACTTCCTACTTGCATTAGGCTTTCTGAAGTCTGGATCCACTTTGGCCAGAGGGCAGTCCTTAAAGTCATGCGGGCCGGCGCAGTAACGACAAATTGGGCTGCTGCGGCAGGTCGCGACGGTATGCCACGCCCGGTTGCAGCGGGAACACTGGATAATTCCTGCGTGGAAGGATCCATGCTGCTGTTGGTGTCGGGTGCCCGTGGATCTTACAGGTTCTGCTATGGCTGTGGCCGTGACTGATGGTGTCTGGTCTGGTGTCGGTGCCTCGACAGGTTCTTCTTCTACGGTTGGTATCGTCCGGGTGGGCGATGCTGTTGTTTCTTCAGGAGCGTCGGCAGTTTCTGGCGTTGTCTGCACCGTAAGGGCTGGTGCGTCGACAGGTGCTGCCTCCTGGTTAGCTGGCGTCGATCTGGTTTCTCGGCGCTGGAGCGGCTTTTTCTGGCTGGATTTGCCACGGGCCATAGTAGATGTGGCTGGCTAAAGGCTGCACTGATCTGGCTGCTGTTGATTGCTAGGTCCCTTCGGAGTAGGCAAGGCTTGTTAGAGTATCCTGAAAAGGACACCCAAGCGTGCTTCCTCCTTAGTTCTCTAGACAATCGTTCAAAAAACTGGCTGGTATGACTGGCTCTTCAACAATGCTGTGCTCCCGGGCCGCTAATAACCCACCCGCAGACGAATAACGATAGCGTAGTCGAGCCAAAACTCAGCCGAATATCAAGCGAGTTCTGACCAGTATCTAGCTATCGATAATCAGGCTACGAATGGATAGTTAGCAAGCTAACGAGAGACACACGTGGCTGTATCGGGCGGTAGAGCGAGCGAGCGAGTGTGTCAAGTCTGAACCGCGATTAAACTCCTTTAAACATTCTGGTTATGTCTAGATCGTGCTTCTGGTGAAGAAATAAATCAACATAGTCGTCCCAGGGAGCGAATGAGTAAACGAACTTTATTTTCAAAGTTTCACAAATTGGGCACGTAGCCCCTCTTAAACTCGGCCCTTCCAAACACCCATATTTTACACAGCAGTGTTATTTTATCAATGAAATATATTATATTCATGAACTAATATGCATATTATAAATATAAATGTAAAATCCTCCTCCTACCCCCCCTCCCCCTCCCCCGCAAAAAAAAACATGGGTAGTAAATTGCATTAGTATACTCGCGCACGCACATACACACCCGTCTACTCACTCACTTGCACACATATATACATACACACCCTGATGCATACACACATAACATACACACATTCAAACACTCACATACACATACTCAGTTCACACGCATGTGTATATACATATTATATATATATATATATATATTATATATATATATATATATATATATATATATATATATATATATATATGTCTGTGTGTATGTCTGTGTGTGTCTCTATGTGTGTCTGCACACAGACACACACAGACATACA